GGAGACCCCGCCGCGCCCAGGCCCGGGCGGCCAAGCGGGTGCAGGCTGCCCGGTCCATCATGCGCTCGTAGTGCAGCGGGCGGCAGATGGCCACGTACCGGTCGTAGGCCATGGCGGTGAGCAGCGGGAGCTCCGTGGTGGCGAAGAAGAGGAAGAGAAAGACTTGGGCGACGCAGCCGCGGTAGGAAATGCGCCGGGAGCGGGTGAGGGAGTTGGCCATGGACTTGGGGACGATGACGGAGATGGCGCCGAGGTCCAGGAGGGAGAGGTTGACCAGGAAGAAGTACATGGGGGTATGGAGGCGGCGGTCGAGGGCCACGGCCGAGAGGATGAGCAGGTTCCCCATCAGGGCGGCCAGGTAGATCGCCAGGAAGGCCACAAAGTGCAGAATCTGCAGCTCCCGGACGTCGGAGAAGCCCCGGAGCAGGAACTCGGTTGCCGTGGTGCCGTTGGGCATGTCGCTCCTCAGGGCACTGTGCGATGGCTGTGGAGGGAAGGAGAAACACAAGGGGAGGGGGGGAGGCTCAGTCACGCAGGCCTGGCTGCAGCCCTGGCAGTCCCCAGAGTATGAGCCCGATTAGGCCGGAGCTCGGCAGGGCAGCCCCCCGCCGGGTACAGGCTAATTACACAGGCACCAGGCTGGCCAGGGAGACTGGAACAAGAGCCCCGAGCGCACTCCGGGGACGACACAAACACATTCCCCAGAGGAGCATTACCAGCAGGTCTAGAGAAGTGATTATTCCCCTTTATTCGGCTCTGGGGAGGCCACATCTGGAGTGTTGCGTCCAGTTCTGGGCCCCCCGCTACAGAAAAGACGTGGGCGCATTGGAGAGGGTCCAGCGGTGGGCAACCAAAATGGTTTGGGGACTGGAGCGCATGATCTACGAGGAGAGGCTGAGGGAGTTGGGCTTGTTCAGTCTGCAGAAGAGAAGAGTGAGGGGGGATTTGAGAGCAGCCTGCAACTCCCTGCAGGGGGGGTCTCACATAAAAAGGCATATGTGGGCCTGCAGGAGTTACATTTGTATTCCTCTACACCAGCCATGAGCCCTTTTGGCAAAGATATCAGGTGTTCTTTATCAGATGGCCTTCATCAGCCACAACTCCCTATGCTTGCTAGCTGAGAGCTGAGTATGGAATAAATAACACAACCTCGGTTCTCAGCCCTGTGGGAACACTGAGGGGCATTGGGCCAGCTCACGGACACACGGTAAACAGCTAAAGTATAAGATCACTGGGAGTCCAGTGTCCGGTGAGTCTCACCTAGTGTCTGGTGAGTCTCACCAGGGACCTAGACCTGGGAGGGTGCCCTGGATCCCCCGAGCTGGAGCCACGTCCCCTGCGGCCTGGTGCGAGGTGACCGGAACAGGACTCCCCGCAGACTGAAGGGGTGTAAGCATTTCCAAGTGCCCATTGCTTGCTTTAATGAATTGCTCTGCCTGTGCTTATTGATGTGTCACTTTGCAGTAGCTGTGTAACCATCGGGCAGTATTGTGCCTGTAACAGAGACAGTGAGATTAATAAACTCAACTATTGCTAATGGACTCTGTCGTGATGCGAATCCATAATCCTGTTTGGCCTGGCCCTGTGAGTTGTCAGGGGTTCCAGAGAGGCTGGAGAGCAGCTGTTCTCAGTGGGGGCAGATGGCAGAATGAGGAGCAATGGGTTCCAGTTGCATGGGGGAGGCCTAGGTTGGATAGTAGGAAAAATATTTTCCCATGGTGGGGAAAGGGGAGGGGGAAGCGCTGGGCTGGGTTCCCGAGGGAGGGGGTGGAATCTCCATCCCTAGAGGTGTTTAAGTCTCGGCTTGACCAAGCCCTGGCTGGGATGATTGAGCTGGGTTGGTCCTGCTTTGGGCAGGGGGCTGGACTCGGTGGCTCCTCCAACCCTCAGACTCTATCGTTCTATGAAATGTTACCACCTCTCTCTTTCCCCACTCTCCAATTATTTATGAATATGTTGAATGTAGCTGGTCCCTGTGTAGACCCCTGGGGGAAAACCACCAGTCTGCCCCCCTGGCCCTCCACTAAATCCATCTGTCCCCTCCCCCAGAAGAGAGAAGTTTGGCTGTCTGAATTTACAATCACTGCTCTGTACAAAACAGCTTGTTTGCCAGCCGCTTAGCAGCGGAATCAGTTTCGCTCTCTGGCAGCTCCCCCGCTGATGCGGAGACAGGAACGGCTGCAGCAGAATGAGGGGTGTGAAATGATGCTCTTATCAGACCCCATGCACCCCCCGTCCCAGGCCTTCTAAAGGCTACGTGTCCCAGGACGGGCGGTCAGAATGGGTTTTGCTCAGATTGTTTCGAAAGGAAATCCAATGGGGCAGAATTTCCTAGGAGGTCTCAGCTCTGCTCACAGAGATGTCACTGAACACCGGAAACCCAGGGTTCTTTGGTGTGAATGTGGGGGGGGAATGTCAATTGTCAGCAATTTGCAGTTGGAAATTATTGTCTCCCAGTTGCCAGAACATGGAGAACTTAGTGGTCAAACGCTGGAATAAGTTGCCCAGGGAGGTTGTGGAATCCCCATCTCGGGAGATATTTAAGAGCAGGTTGGATAAATGTCTGTCAGGGATGGTGTAGACGGAGCTGGGTCCTGCAGGGGCGGGGGACTGGACTCAATGACCTCTCAAAGCCCCTTCCAGTCCTATCATTCTATGATTCTATGAATTTTAGGGACTTCAATGAAAAGCCTGTTTTTAGAGCCATTAGGAACACAAGAATGGCCAGGCTGGGTCAGACCAAGGATCCACCGCAGCCCAGTGTCCTGTCTGCCCGCAGTGGCCAATACCAGATGCTCCAGAGGGAGCGAACACAACAGGGAATCCTCACGTGATCCCTCCTGTCACCCACCTCCAGAGAAACAGGGGCTAGGGACACCATTCATACCCAGCTGGCTAATCGCCATTGATGGACCTAACCTCCAGGAATCGATCTTGCTCTTTTTTGAACCCTGTCAACGTCCTGGTCTTCATACCATCCTCTGGCAAGGAGTTCCACAAGTTAACCAGGCACTGCATGAAGAAAAACTTCCTTTTGCTTATTTTAAACCTGCTGCCCATTAATTTCATTTGGTGACCCCTCTTCTTGCATTACGAGAAGGCATAAATAACTTTTCCTTTTTTACTTTCTGCACCCCAGTCATGATTTTCTAGAGCTCTATCCAACCCCCGCCCCCAGTCTCCTCTTTTCTAAGCTGAGAAGTCCCCGTCTCTTTAATCTCTCTTCATAGGGCACCCGGTTCAAACCCCTCATCAGTTGTGTTGCCCTTTTCTGAACTTTTTCCAAAGCCGAGAGCTCTTTCTGAGATGAGGTGACCGCGTCTCCGTGCGGTATGCAAGCTGTGGGCGTCCCATGGATTCACAGAGAGGCAATGAGATGTGCTCTGTCTCGCTCTCTACCCCTCGCTTAATGATTCCCGACGTCCTGGCTGCTTTTTTACTGCTGCTGCCCGCTGGGCGTGTTTAGAGAGCTCCCTTTTCATTCTGCTTTCTCGTCCTTCCTCCTTTCTGCCTAGTTCCTCTTTCTGAAGTTCCGCCAGTTGGGGCTGCGTCGGTGTTTCCCCCGCTCAGGGATGTTTCGTCTCATTATAGTAGGGTCACGATTTCCAAGCCGTTCAGATCCCGTCCACCTCTCGGACCAGATCCCGAGCTCCACTTAGGACTAACTCAAGACTTGCCTCTCCCCTTGTGCGTTCCAGACCCAGCGGCTCCAAGAAGCAGCTACGTAAGGTGGGAAGAAACTTTCTCTCTGCCTCCGGTCCTGAGGCGCCGTCGACCCAGTCAGTGTGGGGGTCGCTGAAATCCGCCCACCGTTACTGAGTTTCGATAGCCCCTCTGATCTCCCTGAGCATTTCACAGTCACCCGCCAGGGGCTGGGACCGTATTAATAGCGCACAGGATTGCTAGCCACTGCGATTGCATGGGACAGCTTCGTTCTTGGGAGTTTTGAACTTTGATTCTTCACTTGCTTCCACACATAATGGCCCCCCTGTTTCTTCTGCACGTCCCATATATTTTGTAGCCTGGTGTGGTTGTGTCCCTCTTTCCACCACGTTCCTGTGACGCCTGTTACATCCACAGCCCCCTTTGATGCCAGGCGCCCTCAGGATCGTCTCAGCCTGCACGGCGCCCCCTGCGCCTCTCCGCTTCCCCCCAGCCCTGGCTTGATAGACGGCGCCACCACCCCCTCAGTTACTGGTGTAAAAACCCATCCGGCTGTTCGAATGGACGGTACAGCTCAGCGAGCGTTGGGAACGAGCGTCACCTTCCTGTTCTTGAACTCGCCCTGCACAGTCGCACTCCGGCACGCTTCATCGAAACGGCAAACTTACCGGGCTGCTCTTCGTGCAATTGTTCCCAGCGTGCGGCGAATTTGAGCCTCCAGTGTTAGGAATCTTTGCTTATCTATCGGTCTGTCTGTCTAGCCCCATCCACCCCCTCTATCTATCTATCTATCTATCTATTTGGCTGGCTGGCTGGCTGGCTGGCTGTTTGGGACTCTGTCTCACACCCCCATGGCCGTATTACCCAGCAGCTCTCGTCCCTCCCCTGTTCTCAGCTGATCCGGGTGGCGCAGGCTTCGAGGTGCTCTCAGTCCCTGCTGCTCTCACCCGGGGGCTACATAAAGGAATCTGGTTACCAGGGTTGGGAGCCCAAGTCGGATCCCAACCCGTCCTCGTTCCGCGGCCTCCGGGGGGGAACGGCACCGCTGGGATGGCCGCCGCGGCTGCCTCCTGGAAGGGCGCTCGGCTTGAACCCTGGGGGCGGGGAGCTTAGGGGACCTCGGGAGTGGCAGATATCACCGTGTTCCTCGCCCTGAGCTAGGACCTGCCAGAGCATGGAGCCAAGTGGCCCCAGGGCCCCAGCTGGCCCAGCATGGCCAGTTCCTGCCCTCGGGTGCTGGAGAGGTTGCGCCCCGCGTTCCAGGCAAGCGGCCAGAGCAGCAGAGACAGAGACAGGCTTGCCAGGGGCCTGCTCCCCAGGAGGAACCTTGCTCCTTCTGGGCTGGGATCCGGGGAGAGGAACCCCTGAGCCGGGCCGTGAGCTCACGTCAATCGGAGAGAGGAACCCCCGAGCCGGGCCGTGGGCCCACGTCAGTCGGAGAAAGGAACCCCTGAGCCGGGCCGTGAGCTCACGTCAATCGGAGAGAGGAAACCCAGAGCCGGGCCGTGAGCTCACGTCAATCGGAGAGAGGAACCCCCGACCCAGGCTGTGGGCCCACGTCAGTCGGAGAGAGGAACCCCCGAGCCGGGCTGTGGGCCCACGTCAGTCGGAGAGAGGAACCCCCGAGCCGGGCTGTGGGCCCACGTCAGTCGGAGAGAGGAACCCCCGAGCCGGGCTGTGGGCCCACGTCAGTCGGAGAGAGGAACCCCCGAGCCGGGCTGTGGGCCCACGTCAGTCGGAGAGAGGAACCCCCGAGCCGGGCTGTGGGCCCACGTCAGTCGGAGAGAGGAACCCCCGAGCCGGGCTGTGGGCCCACGTCAGTCGGAGAGAGGAACCCCCGAGCCGGGCTGTGGGCCCACGTCAGTCGGAGAGAGGAACCCCCGAGCCGGGCTGTGGGCCCACGTCAGTCGGAGAGAGGAACCCCCGAGCCGGGCTGTGGGCCCACGTCAGTCGGAGAGAGGAACCCCCGAGCCGGGCTGTGGGCCCACGTCAGTCGGAGAGAGGAACCCCCGAGCCGGGCCGTGGGCCCACGTCAGTCGGAGAGAGGAACCCCCGAGCCGGGCCGTGGGCCCACGTCAGTCGGAGAGAGGAACCCCCGAGCCGGGCCGTGGGCCCACGTCAGTCGGAGAGAGGAACCCCCGAGCCGGGCCGTGGGCCCACGTCAGTCGGAGAGAGGAACCCCCGAGCCGGGCCGTCCCACCCGAAGTCTCCTCTCCAGCCTGGGCCAGCTGTGATGTGTCAGGGAAGGAGATTGAAACCCCACCCAGAATGCACCGGGGGGGATCCCCTTCCTGGCCCCCAAGTGAGCCCTGAAGCATGACCTTTGGGCACCGCCCAGACAGCCGAAGGGAGCCCGGCCCCTCCCTCGCCAGCCCCGGGAGCTTTCTGGCCAGTCTCTCTTCCCCCTGCCGCTGGGCCAGCGCTCGCTCCACCAGGGCCCTGTCCAGCAGCCAGACCCTGCTCCGGGGATGCTCCGACGGGCAGCTGCGGGCGCGGCGCTTCGTGGGGATGTTCCTGGCAGCCCTGGCGGGGAACCTGCTCACCCTCATGGCCATGGCCTGCAGCCCCCACCTG